GGGAGAAGTTTTGTGATGATTCACATATTTTGTATCCCACGTAGCGAGAGAAGTTTGGGTAGCTCTTATGTTGTCCTAGTATTGACCGTGGCACAATAGAAATGCATCATCATGGTCAATACTAATCAAAAGATAAGAAAAGATGCAAGCGTGACTTGCAAAAGTACAACTAATGAAAGACCTCGTTGAGTTCTTAAAGTGAAATAAGGAAAGTGTACTCCTAAACGGATCAAGAAATAACTTTGTTTACATGACATAATCATGTAAATGAAGTAAGTTATAAGTGTCTCCTCGTTCACATGCTTTCTGAATAGTTCTCAAAATTATGGCAGTAAAGTTCATGCCATATTTCAAGGGGGGAATAATAAGATCAATTAAGAAAAATATTCTTCATTAAGAGTGAGATAAAGATCAATTAAGAAGATACCATTCATTAAGAGTGAGATAAAGATTAATTAAGATGAAACCGTTGGAGGAGTACAATGGTCACAACAATGATACCCCTAAGCAGAGAAATAGCTAAATTCCTGGATCTTTTAAAGTTCCGACGGAAGATAGCGTAGTCAGCCTCAAAGATGTTAAGGTGGTGTTTAAAGCGCCATATGAGGTTTTAACGGATTAAACCCAAAATAAGATATTTGAAGATACGCTATCTTTAGAAAAGATAGGAAGATCTGGGGGAGCATGGTATGTAGAGGTATGTAGAGACCTAAGACTTGAAGAGAAGCGGGACTGCGTGCCCACTTCAGTGATTTAAAACAACAAATTTCTCAATACCTGTTGATGTTGTATGACTTATACAATACCTGTTGTTGGCTTTTCGAAGAAGATGAGTAATATAAACAAGGATCTTGTGATATAGGAGCCTGTAGAATCAATTGCCTCTTGGCAATGAAGAGCAACAATAGCCCCATATGAAAGTGCCAGTAGCTGAGGCCTTAGAAGGTCTTAAAGAATTAGTAAACCAATTTTATGATGACTATGAAGTCTATGTTAGTAAAGAAATTCAAATGAATGGTGACCCCACCTCATTTGAAGAAGCCATGAGAAGCGTTTACTCGTTTAAATGGCAAGAAGCTATGAAAATTAAAATGAATTCGATGAATACCAACGATGTTTGGGACTTAGAAGTAATTTCTAATGGAGCCAAAATAGTAGGTTGTTAATGGGTCTACAAGACAAAATGTGACTCCAAAGGGAATGTAAAAGATATAAAGTTGAAATGAATTCGATGAATACCAACGATGTTTGGGACTTAGAAGTAATTTCTAATGGAGAAAAAACAGTAGGTTGTTAATGGGTCTACAAGACAAAATGTGACTCCAAAGGGAATGTAGAAAGATATAAAGCACGACTTGTGGCAATATGTTTTACGTAAAGAGAATGATAGATTACAATGAGAGTTTTCTCTCCAGTCTTATGTAAGGATTCTTTTAGAATCATAATGGTGTTAATGGCACATCAATTTAGAGTTACATCAGATAGATATAAAGACGGCATTTCTCAACGGAGATTTATATGAAAACGATTACATGGCACAACCCAAAAGGTTTTGTCGTGGAAGAAAAGAACATATGGGATGTCACATGTAGAAATCCATTTATAGGTTAAATGTAAGTCTATAGACAGTAGTATTTGAAGTTGATAAAAACAATAAGAAAGTTTAGGTTTTTAAAAAAAATAGAAGGACAATAGCGTTTATGCGAAGTTGAAGAATGAAAAATTCATTTTCCACATCATGTGAATAGATGACATTTTACTCACTAGTAGTGATGTTAATCTGACATTGAAGAAGAAGAAGTTTTGTCCTCAAATTTCAATGTGAATGATCTTGGTGAAACGTCATTGGTTCTAGGAATCAAAATTCACCGAGATATAAGAAAATAGGGTATTTGGACTATCGCAAAGGCATACTTAGAAAAGATTCTAAAGAAATAAAGTATACATGCGAGTAAACCTATGCCTGCTCCTATAGTCAAGGGTAATAGATTTGGGAACTTTAAGTGTTCCAGGAACCGATATGAGATCGATCAAACGAATATGGTTCCATATGCTTCAGCTGTTGGAAGCTTGATGAGTGTACAAGTACAAGTAAGAATTTAATCTGACGTAGTTTACGTATCCGGGATATTTTGGCAGAAGTCCAGTCCAGATATATATCACTGGAATGGAGTTGAGAATATCTTACAATTATGCAAAGTATTATAGGCCTCATGCTGAGTAAGAAAGAACAAGTATTCTCAAATAATTGAGGGTACAAATGTTAAGTCTTGGCGAGATGTGTAGTGAAATCCACAGTAGTTGCTAACACTCGTAGTTGGAGTATTATTGTGGAAAAGCTCCAAAGAAACAGTTATGGTATCATCAGTGATGCATACCATAGTATAGCTTGACATGAGGCTTAAGGAACAGGCAAAAGATGTTAAGGGAATTTGTACCCGGATTTAACAATGGTAGACAACAACAATAACCATTTAAAGTAAGTTAACTCCTAAGACAATAGGTCAAGTGTGCTGCCAAACACATTAACACTAAGTTATATGTTGTAAAGGAGAAAATCCAGAATCATTTTGAAAACATTGAGCACATAAGTACCGAGTAAGTACTTGTGGATCCGTTTACCAAAGGCTAACCACCCAGTGCGTTCAGAGAACACACAGTAGACATGGGTTTGCGGAAAGCCTATAATTTCTGGATACTAAGGGCCTAGTTGAGTATCTATTTCAAAACAGAGAGGTGCATTGTAGCTGTTAAATCTAATGACAACTGACCGTGACGATGAGGCACGCTCTATGCACGGATCTGTGATGGAATGGGAAAAGAAAAAGAAAGTTAAGTTTAAGTCATAAGGTGAGATCAAGGGAGAATGTTAGGTTGATCTCCACCAATTGGCCCAACGGCCAATTGGACCCTTGATCCACACCCTGATCGGGGGCGCTCAGCCTTTCTGCTGGCTGATGGGACCCCTCGCGCAGCGCCATAAAAGGATGGTGGGGGCTGGGGCACAAGGCACGAGATTTACCGCATCCGCCAGCCCCACCGTGGTGTCCTAACCCCAGTCCGATCTAGAGAGAGGGTGCTGCCAGTGACGGGAAGCGCCATCGCCGCCTCTGCTCCACGCCGGACGTGTACGACACGCCGGACTCCCCTGCTTCTACTACTCCGACATCCTCCGGGACGACTACGCCATGGATGGCTCGTCATCCTTCAAAGCCGACGGTCAAATGCTCCTACATCTCTCTCTGTGTGTGTCTCCCTCTCCCGTAGCAAGTTCTAGGTTTAATTTGATTCAACCAGTAAGAGTTTCACCTTCCTATCTGCACCTAATTGATCCCTAAGATCCACAATGTTGCCTCTTTCTCTGTTGAAGTGAATTGTCCTAAAGTGGGTTCGGAGCAGTGAACGTCCAGATGAACTATGATGCTCAGTTAGCAGGGTAAGATCACATAGTACCTGCTATCATCGTTTACACTCTGAAATGTTTTTTTGGTTCAGTTTTTTCCCGTGTTGTATCAATGGCTTAAGTAAAAAAAATTACCACATACAACAAGAAACTGATAAATATTAGTTTTCTGGTCTCAAATGTGATCTGTGTACTGATTGCTAAACTGATTTTGATCATTTGTTTGCCCATTTTGTGGCTTCGCTGGTACATTTTAGGTTTGTGGAATGAAAGTGCTCTTTGTGTGCTACATGATGAGCTCCTTCATATCATCTACGAAATATATTGGCTCTCTTTTATCATTGAACCTTGAGTGAGATTTGCTCCCCGATCACGATATTGCTGCAGCCAGAAGTGCATGTTCTTATTTTCTTCGACAATGTATAAGGTAATGATGAGAAAAAAAAACTGAAATTAAAAAGGATTAGAAATGTTGTCGTAACGTTAGCACGGGTAGTATACTAGTGTAGAATAGGGTGAAGCGACGATGACACTGCCTTTGGTAACTTTGTTAAACTCAAAAAATGATGCTAAGTTTGCATAACATTGCATAATGCAGTACTCTTTCTGTGGCCGTTTGTTCTGCTCACAAAACACAATGATTGTTATGTCATCTTCCGGCTACATTGATTCATCCTGCATTCCTGCTATTGTAAAAATGTGTTGGAATTTCTGCTAGTGAGTTGGATTGCTGCAGGACACGATCAGCTGTTTGCAGTCTGTCTGTGTTGTTACAACCGATTTGAAGTTTGTGCTTGTTATTTTGGGCCTCAGAATTCCTACTGTCAGGAGTTCAAAGCCGGTGCTTGTGCACCAATGTCCACGCTCTGGCCTGTGCCTGTCCATATTCCTCAATCCTCACTTGGTTTCCTATCTTCTGGAGTTCTAGTTTCTAGTATCAGTAAAAAGGAAGCCAGCGGCTCTCATGGATCCAACAAAAGAGCATTTTCTGAGCCATTATACAGGATGTACAGCCTAAACCAAGATGAGCACTTCTGACTTAACCTATTTTACCGATAGATGGAGTGGCAGCTTGTACATGTACAAAGGCAAGCATCTCGTTCAGCGTATGTCCAGAATCAGCATTATCAGTCGAGAACAACACTTTCACAGTTCTGCTGCAACGAATAATGGATTCTCAGTCATCAGGTAAACTTTCCATCCACTGGCATTACATGACTGCTTACAAAATTTTGAAAAAAAAAGAGAGAGAAGAAAATTGTACAAGCACACACTGTCATCAAAAATCACAATTTGTGGCACATGAAGCTTGACATTGCATAAAAACTGCCACCTGGCATTAAAGCTTGCTGCCACCTGGCATTAAAGCTTGCGAAGGCAGGCATCACAGATCATGACAGCCTTCGTTCCACAGTCCAATTAGAAGTGGCTCGCTCAAACTAATTTACCTTATAAGGACCAAAAAGATTTGGTCGTTAAGCAGGTTTTGTCAGGTCATACGAAGGTTAGGCACTGCACTGTACTAGTAATGGCCACCAATCGCTGACATTGTATGGTTAGTCAAATATACGAATCTTGCTGGATTGTATTCTTATTCTCAGTAGACAGGGCTACGATCTCGTTTTCCAGTCAATCTTCGGCTCTTTGGAGACGGTGATGCTGCTTTACCATAGCCACCGGACCTCATCTCTGCACAGCAAATTCAAAAGTGAAACTAAGCAAAGAAAAGAAAAAACATCAATGTAGGCAGAGCAGAATTCATTGAAATGCAGATCAGTGAAACTTTTTATTTACCTCGCTCTCTTTTAAGTTCCTGGTCTAACTCTTCCTTCCACTTCCTTTGTATTTCCGAAAAGCTGAAGCTGTCAAAATTAGTTTTTAACTGTTAGAATATATGCTGTCTAATACCTCAGGAGCAAAATACTCCGTTAAATAAGTACAGGAGCTTTTCTGCAATAAAAATTGAATTGCTGAGTTCTATCTATATTTTCTGCAGTACGTTGGTTACTATTTCTTATGTACATTTCACACAAAGCAAATATGTAGGCTTAATCACAGGACTAAACACCCTAATTATATTGAATGGCATGAGCATATTTGCAAAGGAACTTAATCTTTCACACTATAAGCAATGTGCTTTGGTCAAACCTTGGATTGTCGTCAGTATCATCATGGACCTTGCCCTCAAGTTTGTTAAGTTCAGGTGAAGCTATTTCTCTCAAGACACGACTGCTCTCCACACTGCTTCTTGAGAAGCGCCTTGTGCAACTCTTGGGACTGGCATTTTTCAGATTAACACAAATTGGCTCTAAAGCTGCACCTCCCACCATCTTAATTGCTCGAGGGGGTAACCGGGGATTAGTTATGTTGCTTGCTCGGCAAACATCACTAACTCCTTGAGAAACTCCAGCGTTCACTGTGTTGTAGAACTCATATAAAGGTGTCTGTAATTTCTTTAGATCTGTGGTCTGTCAAGAACGAAACCCTTATTAATTGAATTACTGTTTACTAGTAAAAGAAGGGAAGGAAATGCAATGCCACAAATATAATAAACACCTTTTCCTCCAGAAATTCCTTTATTTTTGATTCTGTAAATTCATCATCCTCTTCACAGCTTCCCTCGCAAGGGAAAGTAAAGTCATTTTCAGACATCTGACTTTCTGCAAGTTTGGCTAATCCACCAAACTCCCTTGACTCAATAAATTGTTGCTCTGGGCTTATGTCAAGTTTGCTTTCCCATTCATCAGATGGTTCAGACATAGGATTGAAGCTCTGGAATTGGCAGAAACATCACACAGCTGTAAGGACACCACTTAAGCGATTTAAAATTTAGCGGTGACACTAGCTAAAAGTAAAGCCTCAAGTGAAAATTTTAGAATAGAAAGAGTAAGCACATGTTCTCTTACAGATCCAACCATTGGGACATCATCTTTGTCAGCGAACTCACAAATGTCATCATCATTGCATTGCAGATCCCACAATGGTCTGGTGTCTGATGACTTGTAAGAACTCAGATTGCGTAGCTTGCTGGGGCGACTCAAGTCCCTATTGAAAAGTTTAAGTTGCTCAGTATAAAACTAAAAGCAGACAGTCTACCAAGTTCAAGAATACATATTACACAAGGAATCACTTACGAGTCAACAGTAGGCACTACATAGGAAGGAATCTCGTTTTTGGAGGTTTCCTGTGAGTATTTAGTTGTTTAGATTGCTATTTTAGGTCAAACAAGTGAGAAAAGAGAATGAAATTAGTTCTGATAATCGAACCTTGGGTACAGCATGATTAAGCTGACAAAAATCTTCCAATACTCCTGTAACGAATGGGTGCTGCAAAAATATTTTTAAGGTGTTACTCTTCTCAAAGTATAAAGGGAGAGAGCTCCCGCTCTGTGCAGGGTCTAGGGAAGGATGTCAGTGACCGCGACTCAAACCCGGGACCTTCCGGTCACAGGCGGTAAGACTCTACCGCTTGCACCAGGCCCGCCCTTCACTCTTCTCAAAGTATAATACTGTGAAATGCCACTGTCATTAGTGCAGGAAATCCATTGTGCAATACCTGCAACAAGTCTGATGCAACAGATCTCATTTCTGGTTCCCTGAAATAAGATAGTGAATGTGCTTGAGAGTGGAATCATTTACTAGTTCTTATTTCCAAATGTGCTCAAGGCACTTGAAAATGGAGTCTTTTATGAGTTACAATTTCCAAAAATGGGAAAACTATACTGATTTGTCTGGGCCATAAATCTACCAATGATCTCTAAAGATGTCATCTATCAAGTATCAACAGATGTTGATTGTACAACACATAACTGCCTCACACAACAAAATCTGTGCTAGACCTAGAATTCAATGGTCTTATTCTATATGCTCTCCATTCTTTAAAAATAATTGTGTTTGTACATGTGCATACTTGTTAAGAAAAAGCAAGAGGTCATCACATGCTTCATTGAAATTGTACCCAGCTTTAATCCTAGTCACCAATGAATAGAGAATTAAGTCTTGTGATGAAATGAAGGCTTAGTAAATGAGCTAGAGACATTTTACAAAGATGCAACCAGGCCTCCCCTCGAAACCCTATGACAACAGGTGAAAAAGAACACCTTTTTCGCATTCAAGAGATCAAAGTATGTGACAAAAAAGAAGTGAAACACACAAATACTTAAAAAGAGTTTGCAGCACAAGAATACCCCAAGCTGAGCAAACCAGGCAATGTAAAGATGGAAACTATTACACGGGCAAATCAGTGTGATAATAATATTCCATTCTCAGATAATTGATGCATTTGACTTCTACAAATCTATTATACAACATTAACTAGTTTTTACTATCATGCAAAACAACTATGCAAATAAATCTACTATGTCCTTGTCAGATGTCATCCTAGACAGTGGGTATATTGTTTAGTTTACATTATGCAAATGGAAGTCTAGCATTGTACCTTTGGTTTAAAAGTGTGTTTTGTGATAATTTCAACAAAGGTGTATAGTTTTTTGTAAGTTACTTTTTGAATATTTTGGTAATCAATTTTCAAAAGGCGGACACAAAAACCACAGTTATGAGCTATGGTCATAGCTTTATCTCCATATATAATTGCAAACATAACTGATTAGAGCACTCATGTTCAGCTAAAGTATATCACCAGTAAGTTATACAACAAGCACTGCAATAAAAGGCTTCTTATGTTTATTTACAAAGATTGTATAAGTTGGCAGCAGAAATTCCTGAGTATAACAAGTTTCAATATCCTACTACATGTCAAAGCAGTTGCTATTGTATTTTCGTTTAATGATTAGGAATACATCACTAGTTATCATTTATCAAGACAGGTATAAAGAATCAGAATTGTACTTTTGTAAGCATTTTAACAGAAAATCCTTGGCTTCTGTAGAGAGATGTTCTGGTATAGGTGGGTGTGATTTTGTCGTCCCAACATAATAAAGAAGAGAAACCTGAAAATATTTAGTGAATGTTAAGAATAATCGATGTCTACAGCTACCATGAGATAAACAGATTCTGCAAATTACCTCTTGATATTCGTGGCTCCACGGGGGTTTGCCTGTTGCCATTTCAATTACCGTGCACCCAACACTCCAGATATCAGCAGAACTGCACCAATGGATAATAAGTATTAATTTAAAATTTAATTTAAAAGATAACAAAGTTTGGAGCAACAGAAGGTGTCCTAATGTGTTCTGAATTTGACATAACTATCACCATGGTATCAAAGAAATATCTACTGCAAACCATGAGCCACGTGTACTCATGCAACTAGTTTTGAGCAACAAATGAACATGAAAAACTTAGAGAACATATGCACAGGACTTTTACATTAAGTAAATGAACTACAAATGTGGTTCAATTACACATAGAAAATCAAAATTAGCTATATAGATGAATGCAATATATTTTATTATGGAAACACAATGCAGTTACCGAGCCCTTAGTTCACAGAGATCTTATGTTATTCTTAATTCTTAAAACAATACCCACAGATGAGGTGCAAAATGCTTTTTCTAATACACATTGATGAAGACAAAAGAGATTCATGGGCTTACCAATTGTGACCGCTTCCAACAATGACTTCTGGTGCCATCCAATATGGGGTACCTTTCATCGTCTTGGCAGCAGTTGCAGTTGCCTAGCAAAAGACAAACATGGAAATACAGTGGTATTGAAGGATAAAGCACATGATATATGATAGATGGATGACAGACGGTAAAAGGTCACGAATGAATGATTAACAGAAAAGCAAGAGACAGGAAAATGTTTTGTTTTCACCCTTTTAGATGCTTCACATGGTTTTATGTCTTTGTGGCAGGTTGTACTACAATTTCGTTTCGTCATTTTATTGGAGCATAAAACATTGATAAACAATATGCAAGTTTGAAACTTAGAACAAATAGTGTTAAATTTAGACCCGCCACATCGTTGAGCGGCTTCAAATGACAAAATTAAACAATGTAAGGCACATTTGGAAATTAACTGATGTGTCAACTTACCAACTTTTCTACTTGCTTAGATGCTCCAAAATCTGCTAACTTAATGCAACCTTTGTTATCAACAAGTATATTTGCGCCCTGGAATATGACAAAATAACAAGCCACATCATCAAAAGCATTTATGGACACACAATTTGTATAACAGGAGAAATTTTCTTGCCTTTATATCCCTGTGAATGATTCCATTGCGATGCAAATATTCCAGTCCATGCAAAAGCTGTTTAGTATATTTCCTGATGACCTGATAAAGAAATAAACTGAATCAAAACATACTCTTCACTGGTCCACTCATCAAAGTAATCGTACATGCAGAATATGTAATACTTACAGCCTCCGGGAATGATCCAAGTCTCCCAAGTAGTGACTGGATCGAGCCTCCAGGAACAAATTCCAGCAGAATATTTAGTGTGTTTTCCTCCCGCGCCGTCCCAATATACCTCTGATCAAACAACACCGCATAGATCAAAAACCGTAGCTAAAAGAAAGGCTAACAATGTTAAATGGCAATGTGCTTACAACAATATTAGGGTGGGAGAGGTTCTTAAGCATCTTCACTTCGTCCTCGAGCTCCCTTACATGTGCCTAGTCAAAAGACTCCCGTATAAGCATTTTAGAGTGGAATTTGTAAATAGTTACATCGAATTTGAACAAATGGGCAAAAGATAAAAGTCAAAGCATTGAGAGCAAAAGTACTCACCTGGGCCTTCTCCCTCGTCGCGTTGCTGCTTCCAATCAGAACCTGCCACCGAGAAAACAACACGAGATCCATCGAATCGCTCAAAAAGTTTCCTCGGTTCAAAGGTCCTAGCTTCGATATGGAAGCCTACTGACCTGCTTGACAGCGAGGAGCTCGCCGGAGTCGAGGTCCATGCCGAGGTACACCTGCCCGAACGCGCCACTCCCGATGAGGTCGCCCTTCCGCCACCGGATCGGCGGGTTCTCCTCTCCTCCGCCGCTTCCTTCTCCCCCTACCCTGCCACATCCGTCGGAGGCCGAGGCCGAGGCCGCGGCCACGAGCGGGGGCGGCGACGGCGACGGTGGCGGCAGGAGGCGGCGCGTGGGCGAGGGGCCCTTGGCCGCCATGCCGAGCAGCCCCATCCCCCGCGACCTGCGGAGGCGGTTGCCGATCCGCTCCCTGAAGCCCCCAGCACCGCTCGCGGCGGCGGCAGAGGAGGAGGAGAGAGAGGGGGACGGCTCGTCGACGGCAGCGGCGCCCGCGCGGAAGGAGATGGAGCGGCGCACGGAGTCGAACAGCTCGTGGAACCCGCCGCCGCCTGCATCGTCGCGCCGCATGGTGTGCCCCGCCGTCGGCGGCGACGAGCGGGGTGGGTTTGGAGGATCGGATCGAGTGGAGGATTGGGGATTCGGCGGAGATTCCTCTTTGCTCCGTCGCTTCTCTGCTGCTGTGGCTCGGGGATTTTGAAAATCTTGGGTGGGGACTTTGGGGTGGGACGGAAATGACCGTCCCGACTCGACCGTTGGGACGGGACGCACGGGGATTTGGGTTTGCGGGCATAGTGGGCTTAAAGGCTTTTCTTAGGTGGCCCAAATCTCAAAATGGACCCAAATAGTCCATGAACGGGGGCCTAAGCACACACAACACAGACCACGAGATTTTTTTTTCAGATAATGGAAGAATATCCAGTTTCATGCCCACCAGTGAGGAATTAGAGTGAATTTATTATACATGACAATCACTTGTCTCGATCCTTTCAATTGATTTCATTTTAATAATTATAATTTAGACACATATTAATTAAACTAATATGGTTGAATATGGATTATATTTGTATATTATTGTTGGATATACGATAGAGATACTTATTTGTTATATTTCTATCGTAGGGGAGTGAGTTGAAGAGCGTGTTATAAGTTGCAAAATAGAAACATAGAATGGTGATATATAGAATTAATTTCAATCTCTCACCCTATGAATTTAAGATAGGCTTATATGTGAACTTTGAAAAGTATTGGAATGTCAAATTCTAAGCCATTAGCATAATTTATTAAGTAGATTTTAATTTATCCAAATGAAAGGATCCAAACGGCCTCTTATAGAATTTAACCAGTCCACAAGAAAATCCTAAGAAGAAGGTAATGGAAATTATCACTGCCAGAGAGTACCGCTAATGACAGCCAATGCAATAAACTTTCGCACACACTCTGGATGTTCTTCATCAACCTCCTATTAGCCTCATGTTTGCTTGTAGGTGTCTTCCTCGTACTCGTCGCATTTTCAGTTAGGGTTGAAAGGTTGGAACTGGATTGATTTAGGCTAACAAAGATACAAGGAGAGGCTCTCGAGTAGTAGTAGGACCAATGGTGGTGACAGGAGGATATAACGAGGTAGTATAACATTGTCTACCATGGGTGGTGGACTATCGGTGGGCAGCAAATGTGGGGGAGTGTCGTGGCAATGTTCTAGCATAAGTAGGTTAGAGATGCAGAATCCAGGGGAAGCCATCAGAGATGGAGGAGGAGAAAGGCTGTAAAGGAGCTAAGAGTATCTCCAAAAGTTTTTCTAAATTTTACTTTCTAAATTATCATTTGGAGAGTCATTTGTATAAAAATCGATTTCTATATCTTTTCACTCTCCAATAATTTTTCTATATCTCATGTGGACTCTACAAAGCCATTCTCATCTTCTGCAAAAAATCCGGAATAGAAGATGGCTATATTTGAATGATCATTTAAACAAGCTATTGGAGCGTAGTTTTTCACCAAAATCTCTATTCCTATTATTTATGAAGGATATGAAGAGTCTCTTGGGAATGCTCTAAAGAGGAGGATAATACATATGAAGTTGTCCCAATGTTTTTTTAAATGAACTTGAAAATCATGTGTTATACACCCCAAATTTCAAGACCAAACAAATGAACCCTTAACAACGGTCAAAGTGGTTTCCCTATGTGGTTTTGCTAAAAAAAAGCAGACACCATAGGCCTATTTGGGACAAGTCCACCACTGAAAAGTGAATCTGAATCTAGGATTCGATGTGGAGCAGCTCCACTAGTGGATCTAAGATATGTGGGAACTATTTGGGTATACAGTAGATCCAGATCCACGCAATGTCATTTGTTGGAATGACCAGATTTGCCCTTGAGGTAAGCCCCATGTGTCAATGTCTCTTAGTTTGGGCCCACGTGTCAGCTCTTTCCTCTCCTTCCAACCGTTCAGAGCCTCACGCGGAATTAACGGGGATGGGAGCAGCGGCCATGGAAGGGATCGGGGATGGGAGCACGTAGCACCGATCGATAGGGCATGGTTCTGACCAGCGCGGGCGCAGGTGTGGCCCTGACCATCGGGCGTAGCCTCGGCCGGCAAGCTCATGAGAGCGGCCATGAACAAGGCACCAGCGCGGGACCGGGCGGGCGCCGCACGTGAAAGCTCTAGTTTGGTTTTGGTGAATTGATGAAACCCTAAAGTGCTAGCCTATTACTCTAGTGATTATGAGATAGGTAGCATATTCCAAATAATGAAGCAAATGGAGAAGATCAGGGTGATGGTGGAGTCCATGAAGATGATCAAGTGCTCGGGCTTAGAAAAGAAGAAAGAGAAAAATAAAATGGGCTCAAGGTTAAGGTGATATCCATAGGGCCATTTTGTTTTCGATGACTGAGACACTATAGAGAGTGTGATCATATTTAGGATAGATGGTTGTACTATTAAGAGGGGAGCTCTTATCAGACAACTCAATCATGTAGTGCCACTAGGTGTTAGAAAACTTGCATTGCATTTTAGGCCAAGTGCACAATCGGTGAGAAAGTGATTAACCTTTGAAAAATAATTGTGAAAATGCTATCACACTTTACACATGATGGTGAAACACTTATAGTGTTAGCACATTTGCAAAGGTGGTGAAAAAGGTGAAGAAAAGGAGGCGTTGTTAGGCTCGGGGTGCTGCCACGGGAGCAACGCCATGCCCTGTCCGGTGCACCGCCACCCCTGTGGCGGTGACCGGCAGAGGAGGCCAAGAGTGGGGTGCTCTGGTGGGGCACCACCACCCCAACGGCGGTGCCCACCTAAGCCTGGCCTAGGAATAGCAGAGAAGGAGGCGGCACCGGTGTGTCCGGTGTGCACCGCTGCCGTGAGGGCGGTGCACCGCTGGGTCACCACCGTGGGGAGGGCGGTGCCACCTCCACTTTTTTCCAGAGACTGGGGTAAACTAGAGTTGGGCACCGCCACGGGCACCGTCGCGAGCATTGCCGCCCTGAGGGCGGTGCACCGCCATAAAATTCCAGAGGCTAGGGTTTTTAGGCAGCTGGGCAGGTGGTCACCGCCACCCTAGGCGCGGTGCCACCGCCGCCTGTCTGGTGCCCTAACGGCTAGTACGGCTAGTAAAACTAGCCATTGGATGACCATTGAAGGGGCATCACCGCCCAATGTCCGGTGCCACACCGACATGTCCGGTGCCCCCGCAGAAGCTAACTCAAAGGGGTAACGGCTCTATTTGCTTGTGGGCTTATAAATAGAGGTGGTGGCCGGCCTTGGCCACTCTCTTGGCACTTCTAATAGCTACATACACCCTTTGAGAGCTGAGCACACCACTCACTCACTTGCACACTTGATTTGATCATCTTGAGTGAGATTTGAGAGCCTCTAGTGTATTGCTTAGTGGTCTAGCATCTTGTGGCACTAGTTGGGCGATTTGGGCTGGTGGAGACCTTGTTACTCTTGGTGTTTCCCGACACCTAGATGGTGTAGGATTGAGATGGCGGACTAGAGGGGGGTGAATAGTCTTTTTTAAAATTAATCGCATCGGCTAATTGAAATAAATTCAAAATTAAAACTATCGATTTAGCCAAGACTACACCCCTCTATCTAAGTTCACAAGCACCTTATAAAGATCCTAATTATGCAACAAAGGTGCCAGGCTAGCTAGAGCTCACCTAATTAATTCTAGAGCAAGGTCACACAAACCTATGCACTAGTACTTTGACAACCGGGGAGCTCCTACACATGCTAGTGATGCAAAAACACAAAGTTCCTAAGCTCACTAGCAATGCTCAATAACAAGGCTATACAAGCCAAATTAGAGAGCGTAAATCACTTAGCTACACAAACTAAGCAATGTGACTAACAAGGTTACTAAAACCAAATTAGCCACACAAGGGAGCTACTTCTATGCTACACAAGCAAGAAGGTAACTAGCAAGCTACACAAGCAAACTAATTACAAGAGCAACTACACAAGCTCAGTGTATGAAATGTAAATACAAGCTTGTGTTGCGCGGAATGCAAACCACCAAAAAGATGATGAAGACAATGTTGACATGGTGATTTTCTCCCGAGGTTCACTTGGTTGCCACCAAGCTACGTCCCTGTTGTGTCGGCCGCTCACTTGGTGGTTCGGTGGCTAATTGGCATCACTCGTTAAGCCGGCATGTCGGACACCGTAGGAACCTACCCCGAAAATGAGGGTAGCTCAATGACACGCTCAACTAGAGTTACTCTTCGCGATCCCCATGGGGTGAGCACAATCCCCCTCACAAATCCTTCTCCGAAGCACCGCAAAATCTTCTCACGTGCTTCAATGGAGTCACAAGCCACCAAGCCATCTAGGAGGTGGCAACCTCCAAGTGTAACAAGCACCACCAGGGCTTGCAACTCGATCACCTAGTGCCACTCAATGCAATCTCACGATGCAACGCACTAGAATTACACTCACTTGCAATCGGATCACACTCTTGCAAGCACAAGTGAGTTGGAGGCTCCAAAGCACACCTACACAAGCCACCAAGGCTTAAGGGTGCTCAGCAACTAGCCCAAGGGGGTATTTATAAGCCCCCACACAAAATAGAGTCGTTGCTCTAAAGATTCCCTTCTCTGCGAGGGCACCGAACATGGTGGTGCGGTCACCAGACAAGGGGTGACGGTGCCCCTTCAACGGTCATCCAATGGCTAGTTTAGGGCATCGAACAAGCGGCGGTGGCACCGGACAGGGGGTGGCGGTGCCACCCTGGCCAACACCCCAAAAACCCTCTTCTCTGGAAATATAGGGCGGTGCACCGCCCAGGGGTGACGATGCCCGCGGCGGTGCCCACCCCCATTTTCCCTCGCCTCTGGGAAAATGTGGCGGTGGCACCAGATAGGCCAAGGCGATGCACCGTCGTGCCCATGGCGGTGCACACCGCCACTGGCGGTGCCAGCGCCAACACTGGTTGCTCGGCCGAGGCAAAGTGGTCATGCCATAGGGGTGGTGGTGCACCGGACAGGGGGTGATGATGCCCCTAGAGGTAGCACCTCATCCCATACTTCGCCTCCTTCAACTCCTTTGCAAATGTGCCAACACCA